GGGGGGGGGAGGGGGGATGGATGCCTGGTCATAATGCATGCAAGAGACTTAATTTGAAAGTTAATACATTACAGTTTCTAAAACTATGAAATTAAATGAAAAATAACCCTCCACGTTGTTCTTCAGGGACTGGTTGGCTGTTCAGAGGTAATACAACATGGACAAAATAATAACACTACATATTTCCCACAAAGACAAAAAATTGCATGCAAGCAATGCAGAACCAACAAAACTTAAGCAACACATTGCATGCTAAGATTAGCATCAACAAGCATTTGCCATGTCAAGCCTATTAATGTTTAAAGCTCAAGTATGGTCATGTTAGGGGGCTGGTGGTTCCTAGTATGAGACAAAGTATAAATCAGAATATTGTCGAGTGGCAGTTTAAATCATTTTCATATGATGAAGAAAGATTTTCCACTGGTGGATCTATCACATACTTCAGTACTTTGTGGTGCTTTCATAGCAAATTCAGTTCATTCTTTGTCACATTCTAGGTAAACCCCCATGTCTTGTGTGCATTTCTTTTCCAAGGATATCCATGCCAATCAGGTGCTGACCAACCTGTCAGAGGGGGAGAATGACAAGTGCTCTTCACACGCCTCCCCCTCCAGGCCCAGACTGCTCCAGCTACTGCTATTCCCATTACTGCTGGACACAGAAGGCAGGTAACACACCGCTGTAACACTGACACAGTAAGTGGCTAACACAGAGAGCTACCAAAATGCAACAAAAGATCAGGATGTAATAAGCAGTTTCATCACATTTGCTATAAGAGCTTACTGTCATGTATCGTCAATAAACAACACGGAGGTGGATGACCATTTCTGGTATTTGGAATAATCCTTTAAATGTCAGGTGAGGTTGAAAAAACAGAGGAGGATTCTTCAAATGATGCAGGTTTTTTCCACTGTACACCTCCCTGAATCAGCTTTAATGTTGACTGGGCCCATTTGTTGCTAAAGTCCTGAGATGTGAGATCATTACATTTTTGTTCTCACATAATCTCGTTAATCATGTGGCTTCCAGCGGGACAACCAGCTGGCAACAGAAGCATAACAACATACACTCTCGCTATAATTAGTGAATGATTAGCCGTGCTGGCTGGAACCTGCATACCGTGGCATGCTATAGCCTAACTAAAAGGGAGAGATGTTTCTGATATCTAAAAATACCTCTATTAATCTGCATTACCTCAGCGGCAGGTGTGGTCTGAATGGCATACTGAGAGGTGATTCATCTAGTCAGTGAGCCTGATCTCGGTCTCGCTAAACTCATAAAGGAATTTTTCCCCCCGTTATTTCATCTGCTGAGCGGAAATAGTAGCAGCAGGCCTTTGAAATGTCTTATGAATTACACATGGTGGACTTTGTTCCAGTAGAAACAGCACTTGAAGAGAGGTGAGCACTTAAAGACACACCTTTAGAAAATATTATGACACATTAACTTTGCCCTTATGGCCAAAATAACTTAATGCTAACACAATATGCTCTTTTAGCATATTGGGAACAAACCCATTGTCAGGTTTGCTTCCATAGAGATATCAACCCCTGCCAGAACTGTCAACAGCCCATTTCCCAGAGACTTTATCAGACTCACTCACTTTTTTTTCCCTTTTTTAAATTGACACACACAAACATAGGTCATGTCCATCCAAGACAAGAAGACCAAATCGGTCATGCCTACAACTACTTAGAACTTGGTAACATAGACAGTAATCTAAAATACTTATCCTTTAACCCTCACATATAATGCAACATAAATCAGAGAAAACTTGCACTCTGGCAGTCAAGTTTAAATGATTTTGGAAAAACATACAATCTGCACTGTCTTTGGGAAACCTTACATCTACAATGAACTGCAGAAAAGACTCCTAAAATGGCTCCAACGGGAGCAAAAAAAAAACCCTCCAAAAAACCCCCCAAAAACATAAAGTGACACAGTATGATCAAAGTATAACCTCAGGCTTTAAATTCTGAACCCAAACCAATTAAGAACAATAGATTACATTCGATGTCTTCTGCTTGGACATTAACAGACTGTCCATTCTGAAACAACTAAATACAGAAACATATGATAGATAACCTGATGAAAAAAAGGATACTACTTGCTGTGACAAAAGAAATAGTAGCAGCTGTCACAAAAACATGAAAAAACATTTTACTGCATACCCACATGTAGACTGATACTGCATGTCTTGTATGCAGTATCAGTCTGCACCAAGCAGAGCTGCAACGACTATAAAAATTATTTGACGTGGAATTTTATTGTTAACATTTTCATATGCTAATAAATGTGTTGTAACTGCAATACACTACAGGAAACTGTGGGGGCAGTATTGCCTATATCGTCTGCCAAGACTAGACAATACTGAAGAAGAATGTAGCACAAACAGCAAAACAGGAGGACTGAAGAAAATAGAAACTGAGATTTTAAACATTTTGAAAGCATTCCACAGAAAACAAAGTTCAATGCAGATTGTGCAAACCGGTGCTTTCCTTCCACGACAGCACTAAAACGCCGGCACCCTGGGGCAGTAAGGTCAGTTAGTGTTAGTGCGTCACAGTTGTTGCTCATTCCAGCCTTGTGTAGGCCCACAATCTTGTCCTTGACATCATTGGAAAGCTCTTTAGTCTTGGCCATGGTGCGGAGTTTGGAACATGAAAAATAAATAAGTATTTATGTTCATGTTTGTACAGCAAGGTTTATTTCAGCTTACCTGTCGAAAACTTCTCAGGATGATGCTTGCACCATTTCAGTTTTGTTAGCTAAACAGTGAAATGCAATAATAAACCATTAAAGAGCTCCACTGTCTACTAATTTTTGGGGGGTTTTTTCCCCCATATTAATATTAGCATTTATTCTGAGTAGTAAACCTCTTCCATTTAACGTTAGGTAATTAAATGTGGGTTAAATCATATACAAAATAATTGGTACTGAACATTACACCATCTGAGAAATGATGTTTTCAGTGTATCGGCAACCAGCAACAATCAAAGTTCCTAGAATGTGCTGTGCGTCGCATTTTGTCGCGCCTCGTTTACCTTCTATCAAAAAAGGGAATTTTTGACAAAGTCTGGAGACAGACCCTCAGCTTTGAAAAATGGGCTTAAAATGTTCCTTTTTAATGCTTACAGGATCAAGGAACCCTGAACCACCCCTTAGTTATGCTTCTATAGTATCAGACTACTGGGAGATTTCCCATAATACAGTAAGCAGTTTATAAAGCATAATTTGGTCTCTATGAAGTTCTTTTCTGTTTATCTTTTCTTGATTGCTTCTGCTTGTGGTTCCGCTTACCCTTTACAGAGCCGCAGGGGGGCTGGAGCCTATCCAGCCTATCCTACAACATGCATCACACACAGAAAGACTCCAACCTGATGATGGAATTGAGCTTAGGACATTTTTGCTGTGAGGCAACTGTGCTAACCACTGTGCCACTGGCATACGTTAAAACAGGCACAAAGGATCTATTAGTCTGGGATCTGGTGGTGATCATGAGGGTTATTGGGAGCTGCAGAGACTTCTGTGTCATTACACATTCAAGGTATAACAACACACAAAGACAGTTACTGGTAATGTCACCTCAAGGAGCACAAACTAGGTGATTTCAACCATAAAGTCAAAATCTGCATGTCTGCTTTCCAACTAAGCTAATCATGAAACCCACGACACACAGCTATGATCACTTTGTTCTCAGACTTGTTGTGGTTGCTATAGTTGCTAACCCAACCACCAGCTGGTTCTTATGTGACATTAGAGTTCCTATTGTGGGTGTGAATGCAAAACAGGAAAAAAAACAAAAAAACAACCAAACCTTTAATTCTCAAGGGGAGCGCCCCCGTATGTAGTTTATTTACTCTCAAGGATTCTTCAGATGTTTTAGTGAAAGTGCCTTAGGTAAAAATTTTTATTGCCACAAACAAAAGCTTGAAGCTAAAAATCATCCAAAGGAAAAAATCTTTATATGTTAGTATAACATATATACATATACATATATACACATTTATGGAGTATAACTAGTAGCTAGCCACTCCATAAATCACAATCTGATTCTTTCTTTCAAATTCTGGTTAAAAAGCTGTGCATAAATAAGTGTATAATAAGGAATGCACTACAAATGTTCTCAGACCCCATTCTAACGTATATTTTAAAGCACCAAGTTGGACTGTGCTCTAGAGGTGATAGATATAAAGTTAGGTGTGTTTACCTGTCACTGAGGTGGAGGAAGCTGCTGTTATCATCTGGGTGCTCATCTTCAAAGCTCAGGTTAGACCAGCTTCCCAGGCTGTCATCTCCAACACTCAGCTGCTGGGACACAGTGGACTCAGTGGTTTCCCTACCCGAAGCACTAAATACAAAGAAACCAAAGGAGAGAGAAAGGAAAAAAAGCCTCAATAACAATGCAAATAGTCACATGTCAGTGCAGTAAAACTGGGAAAATAAAACATTAAAATGTTTGTCAAAAGAAGTGAAACAAAGCTGATTATAGGTTACAACACATGTTTATGGCCTGGCCATTGATTAAACGTATGCATGGAATGAATTTCGGGGCAAACAAACACATTCCTGATGTGAACTGGGAAGTGTGTACCTGGTAAGGGCAGCCTGGCATATGTTGGACAGGGCTGATGTCATGATCTCAGCAGTGAGGCTCTCGGCGTAGCTGGTGCCATCATGGCCGATCCCGCTGTCAGCATTAAGGCTGGTGTTGCTCAGCTCGCGCTTTGCTGTATCCATTGCCATGGACACCATCTCCTCTGCAAATGCCACCCTGTGGTCCAGGTCGATGTGGATTTTTGGAATCTCCAGACTAGAGAGCACTCTTGCTTGACAGTCTCCTCCCCTTTTCCTCCTCTGCAGCACAGGTTGGTAGTGGTGCCTGCTGTGCTTGCTGCAGTATGGACACTCCTGGACTTGACAGCAACAACATGGCCTCTCCCCCATTGCCCGGACCAGAACTGGGCCCTCAGACAACCTCTGTGTGTGAGTGTGTCTGTCATGGTCTTGGTGCTCCCGTGATGAATGGCAAACTGAAGCCACGCTTATCTTCAGCGTGTCATCCACTATTTTCCTGGCATAATGCTCAATGACTTGCATCACCTTGCTACTGTAACCTTGATCGTAGAGACTCCCTGTGCTGTGGTAGTGCTTGCTCTTACCCTCCTTGGATAGCAAAGGGCAGGAGAAGGAGCTCCTGATGAGATTCTCTGCCATGTCTTCCAGTTTGGATTTTTTATAAAGACAGGAGTCAGTGAAAGACTTTGGCAGCCGTACAGAGGAGAGATGGAGCTTGCGTGTGACATCACAGGTGATATTATATGCTAAAGATTCAGCAAAGTGGACTAGATCCATGTACTCCCTCTTACTCTGCTCTTCAGAGTCCCTGCAACAACACTGGGTGTTTCTATCCATCTCTGTTCGATCCTTGGCTGATGACGTTTTACTACTACAAGACGATTTCCATTCATCTGGCAGAGACTTAGAGGAGCGAAGACGTGCACTAGAGGATCTCTGCTTTATTTTACGACTGGCGTGAGCCAAGCCAAGTTTTATAGAACGATAAGCCAAACGGCTTGCATACTGGTCCAGGACTAACTCCCTACTCCCCCCTTCCTTTTTCAGCACCCTAATGAGGTAGCCGGCATACTCATCTGTCACGCTCTCACAGCTGGGATACTCAGAGGATAGACCAGAGCTGGAGATAGACACAGTGCTCGAAGCAGAGGTGGAAGACTGGGAGACCGAGGCAATCAGGTCATTGGACCACTGCTCAGCCAGCCTTCCTAACCTCCAGTCTCTGCTCTGATCTGTACCAGGTTGAGAGTGATGTCTGTGGTGGTAATGCAAACATTCGGAGCTAGATCTGTCCCAGCTTCTTCTTCTGAGAGCTCTGTGATACGGGCACTGCTGTCCAGAGCTCACCATCCTCTTCACATCACTAATTACCTCTCCCGCCACTTCTCCTGCATACACCCACAATGAGTTGAGGGTCTGCTCTGAAAACTGAGCCACACTGTCTCTCCTCTTCTCACTGCCCTGGTTCATCTCTCCCTGCTCCTCTTCCGCCCCTCCTAGGGTGTCCATCTCTGTTGCCATCGAGACGATGTGGCACGCCAACCGCTCAGCATAGTGGAGAGCTTCCTTGTTGGACATTACGCGAGCGCACATCGGGCTGGGTGTGTGTCGGCCGCCCCCTCTCTCTGAACATGTGTTAATGACTCCAACACCGCCTTCTTCTGCCGGTTCTTCCTCCTCTTCTTCCTCATTTCCATCAGCCTCCTCAGAGAGAGATCTCATCAGTTTGAGCATAAACTCTGCCTTGTCTGCATCTGGGATGGTGTCTTTTGGTCCCGGGCCCAGCTCAGGCTGATAGTGAGGGGTTGGAGGTGGTGTTGCAGGGGAAAATTCTTTAGCCAGCTTGCTTTTCAGCTTTTTGGAGAACTGCTTTATCTGTCTCTCTTTGGACACCTCACTGGGCTGCTGGGGGGTGGACGGAGGAGTACCAGGAGTCGCAGCAGACTTCTGTCCAGAGTTTGGAGCTGAATCATCCACAGTAGCGGATATCCTCCTTTGTCCACCCGTCTCATTACCCGGCACTTCCAAAGTATTCATCATCACAGGATGTGTTTCAGACACACCCCTGGTCCTGGGGCCTCGCTCACATCGGTAACTCCCCTGGTTTAGAGTGCCTGTCTGAAAGGAAATGGGAGGATTATTTTCTTGTCCCATAGGGCCACCTAGCCTAACATGCCCAGAATCTGTATAGTCATATCTAAAACTTTCCCTGACAACTCCTTGCTTTGAAGGGGAATCCAGAGCATCGTAAGAGTCCCTGCGGCTCCTGATTGTCTTTGTGAGGAAGTCAGCACAGTCGCCCAAACCCTTCTTCATTTTAGAGGCAGTTATTAGCTCACAAGCCTCAGTTACTATCAAATCCACCATGTTGCCAGAGAAGTTTTGGAATGAAGACTGTTTTTGGGAGGGCTCTCCTGCTGGTAGAGAGGTCTGAGTTCCATGACTGTAAAGGGCCGTTAGTGGAGACGTGGCATTGTCAGAGGATGACACAGTTGATCTTTTGGGGCTGGTCGGTGGGGTATGTGACAAGCTAGACCTCTGCTGAGTGGTCTCCTCGGAATCCTGGAGGTTGGAGAGGGCGTGCCCTGCTTGGGGCACAGGAATACAGCTGGCCATTCCTGATACAGTGAACAGGGCTTTCTTCACAGTACAAGAAGCATCCTCCGCTGGGACCGCTACACTTAAAACCTGCTGGTTAGCAAAGGTGCTGCAGGTATGAGTGCAGGTGTTATGTGCACTGACATAACAGATGTTGTCCACAGACACACTTATAGCTGCTTGGCTTGTGAAGGCAACATCTGCCTGAGAGAGCTCTATGAAGGCCTCCTGGATGACAGACTCAGAAAGGTCTGAAGCATAGGAGGACACCACCACCTCCTCCTCTTCTTCCTCTTGCCCATGGCCAAAAGACCAATCACTTGGGGTGAGAGGCGTTGAGGGGTGGGAGAACTGACATACTTCCATTATACCTTCAAAAACAAGCTCTTCAGCCAGATCAGCAGCAAAACGTGATACAGTGCTGTGGAAAATCTGCTTCTTCACAGTCAGGAACTCTTTGAGCGCTGCGGACACGGCCTCTCCAACCAGGAAAGTGGCCAGCCCGTTGATTGCCCGCTCCTTCAGTACATATGCACGTCGCATGCCAATCTCATGGAAGGCCATTTGAAATACTGAGGAGGTAAGTCGAGCAGCTAGGTGGCACAAGGTGGTGGTGCAGGAGGACACCCCTTTTTGGAGGTCTCGCAAAGCGCTGCCCAAGCTCATTTCCACAAGGTCACTGGCAAACCTCTGAATACCATCTTTCAGAGACTGGGATTTCTTCTGCAGCTTGGCCACCGTCACAGTCTCCTGTATTTCTGAGAGTTTCATCAGGTATCCTGAAGGGTTCTTAAATTCCTTGTGGCAGACACAGGAGAGATTCTTGTTGTCACTGATGTCGACAGCAGACTGGTAGCCACAGACAGATCCAAGAATTTCTTTGGACAGACTGCTAGCAAAGTCTGAGTAGGTCTTATACAAAGAACAGAGATCCTGAGGTTTACGTAGCTCAGAGTCATCTTGTCCATCTGCCTCTGTATTCCAGAAGTATTCCAGTGGCCCGCTGGAGTCCACCAGGGGACTGAAGGCAGAGGAGCTCAAAGGACTGAAGAGGGGACCACCGTTCTCCTCAGAGGGAGTCTGTACAGGCCGAGGGGAATCCGGCACCTCAGAGGGAATTGAGTAAGGAGAGCCTGGTTTCAGGGGCGTGGGTTTTTTCACATTGGCTGGGAGAGTGGGCTGATCAAAGCGGTGAGGATTCATTCCCTTGGTTGAGCAGCCCCTAGAAACATATTTTAAAGATGATGTACTTATGCCAGATTCATCAGCCTCTTTCTGTGCTGCTGGGACACTAATCGCATCCAGAGGCAGAGTAAGAGTACAGCTCTCAGAGTTGAGCTCATCCAGATCATCAAACTGGTCAAAGCTGTCAAAAAACTCACTAACTTCGGAATCTGAGTCTTCAACTCGCTCTCTGGGCCCCCCTGGCACTTGAGGAATGTCCAGTTTGGCCAGCAGGCTCTTCTGGTAGCCCACTTCATCCAGGAAAATGATAGGGCTGGGGCTGGAACAGTCTGACTCTTCTGATTCACTGACATGAATCAAAGGTGAGGGGAGACGAGCTCCAGGACTGCAGTAAGTCCACTGGGATTCCACACCCGATGACCTCTGCACTGTGACAGATACGTCAGGACCAGATCTGTGTTTGGCTGAATACTTCTTCGAAGACGAGCTTATGATAACGCGGGAGCCTGATAATTCCTTTTTTCTCTTGTGGGCTGGGACTGTCTGTGAAGCCACATCACGCTTTTTAAAATGACTAAATGGAGCTGCAGCTGTGGAGATGGACATGAAGGAGAAAGAGGAGAAAAGTGGTTAGATGCAACAATTGCAAAGAGGGGATTATAGGATGATTTTCCACAGTGCTCATGGCACTGTGGAAAAATAACAGACAAGTAAAACTAGTAAATAGCTAATTAGTGCCATCTAGCAGTGAACTGAAACCATTTACATTCTAGAGACGTTTTAATTAAAGTTTGCACAGATTATGACAGCATAGTGCTGCGGATGGAAAAAATACATATTACATTATTCTTGTAAGATTCTAATTGTTTCACATTAAATCACAATATTAATAATTCTATGCAAGTCTTTCCATAGGGCTAGATGTGTTGAGAATGTAGAAAAAAATGATAACTATGACCTTGAGCACAATTTGGCTGAAGACCTATTAAGTAATCACTGTCTATATGTTTAAATAATTTCCGACCAATGCTGAAGGAGAGGCAGGGTACACCCTGGACAGGTCACCACTCTGTCGCAGGACTAATCCGGAGAGAAAGACAACCTTCCACACTTACATTCACACCTCTGGCTGATTTGAACCCTACATTTCAAAACAATATGCAAAATAACAAATAATCTACTCTTAGGCTGTATTATCAAAAATGAAGTATCTGCCACGGGACTAGAGTTTTTAAACAGACTGTGTTTTACATTTTGCTGTATAATGTCACTTTTTTCCTCCAAAGTTTGAGGGCAAAAATCTTCAAGTATTTTCAGATTTGAGTATTTTCAAGTATTCAACTGTCCTGCCAGTCTCAGTCTGTGTGTGCGCGCGCGGGTGTGTGTGTGTGTGTGTGTGTGTGAGACAGGCCTGCTAATCTCTGCCTGCTGCGAAAGTCCTCCTCAGAGGAGAGCCGACCACAGAAGCAGGAATACTTGCAAAAGAGCTTTTATTTCCCCTCAAAAACCAAACAAGGTTCCAAAAAGCAGACACGGGTCCTTGTTTGGTCACACTTTTTTGGGGGGGCATCTTTGCTCTCTTCTCTCCTCTTCCCCGTACTAAGCGCAACTATGGAGTTTTTTACCAGTTGGTGCTACTTGGAAAATATAGGAATGTCTATATTATACATGAAATTACAAGTGGTATACCACCAAGCATTATGAGAGCATTAAAATAAAAAGAAATCCTTTTCTGCACATGACTCAAAAACCAGAGGCCACTAAATGCCAATAAGCATTGGCTGCTAAACCTACAGGTATTGTCTGCTGTGTCGTCCTCCTCCAGATGTTCTAGAGCTGTGACAAAGTCATCCTCGATTGATGAGACCGACTGGTTGGTGTCGTCTTCGTCTGGCTGGTTGGGCTCAGCTGCGCCCCTCTGAAGAGCCTGAAGCTCCAGCGTATAGCGGAGACCTGCCATGTAGCACCCCAGCAGGCCCACCAAAGTTGGAACACTGGCTTGAGGGTAAACGTTGGTGCTGGAACTATTCCTCAGCACACACACTGTCTTTAACCAATACTGGAGGAAGAGGAAAATGGCATGAGAAAGGGGAATAAGGGGGAAATGAAAATTGCTGACAGCATGGTTTGGCTAGTGATTTTTCAGCTCATTTGAAGAAAATCATTTTTACCCAGCAAGCAGACAGACAGTCAAAGCAATCACTTTTGTAAATTAAATTCACATGGGCATTTTTTTTATCTCACAGGAGGAGGGAGATGGCTGGAAGTATATTGTTATGTCTGTGTCCTGATTGCAAATTGATGCATATGCAGAACGCAAAAATCCTTTAGTGCTAGCCCACTCTTTAATTCACAAAGCTGGGGCGAGAGAGCCACAGAATGAGCTGCAGGGTCTGTGTGAACCCAAACATGGCACACAGGAACAGGAAAGTGGCGGCTGCAAAAGCAACTTCTCTGTCAGCCTATCCCACACCTGTGTTTCTTTGGAAGCATGAGAGAGACTCATACATCTGCTTACATAGTGGGAAAACTTTTAATCAACAACTGCTAGAACTGGATTAGCGGTTGTTAAAAATACATCTTCTTAAAATTAAACATTTACTGTGTTTGGACATGTGTCAAGTATCATTAACCTTACACATATAAATTCAGATCCCAACACATCCCGAGGACAGCAAAAGGAATGCAGCTAAGCTGGGGTCTGAATAAGCATAGTGAAGCACTGCAGTACTCTTTTAGTCAATACATTTTTAAAGACCAGAATGAGAGGCTAAAACAAAAATTTTATGCATTTAAAAAGATACAACACCAGAATGTTAAACAAGAGAAAGTGTCCGTCGTCAGTTTAGAGAGCTCCTTTTCCAATCGACTGTACTTACTGGGATAGGCAGTAAGTGCTGTACACTTACCCACTCTTATTTCCTGCTATTCTCTCCAATCACTTCTGCTTTGTTTGACATGCTGACAAAACAAATTAATTTAACACAAAAACGGTCGTTTACATACCTGAGGTCCGGCATCCTTGTGCTCTGGCAGCCTGCGAGAGTCTTTGAGCAGCAGGACTTCATCGTTCTTAATGCTGTGGACGTGGAGGGACCTGAGAAGCTCACACAGCCCCCCTGACAGAGAAGACAGAGCCTGGTGGACAAGAACACTCAGAATCACCCCAGTTTGAAGGCCAAAGTGGTAACTAAAAGACCAGGATAGAACTCAGAGATTTAGTTTTTGAGTTTTGTGTCCTCTACCATCAAAGTATGACCTACTGTCCATAACTAACATGTTGTACCTGCTGGGTGACATCTTCTCCTTCACTTACATCAGGCAGACACACAAAGTGAATCTGAAAAAGCACAGCTGATGGTCAATATTGATGTGTCATGTGTTTAAACATGGCTGAGCTTCACTGGTGCGTTTGTGCGACATACCCCTGTCAGCCTGGTGGCGTCTCTTGCTGGCAGCTCTAAACCAATGCCACAGAGCTCCTTTTTATTCCTGAAGAGGCTCTTCACATTCTGCGCCCCACTGTCTCGCACAGTCTGCAAACAGACATGCAGCTTTTTGTTTGTTTGTTTTAAATAGAAGTACACACTGGCCTACAGCCTCAGTGAGTATACTTTTATTCATCTCTGCACCGTGCACCGAGGAATGCAAAAAAAGAACTTGACTGTGTGCATCTGCCTTCTCGTACACGCGCAGATCCTAAGCAATCCCATTATTTTAAAATGCCTGATAAGGTTCTACAGGACTGTGCATTTTCAAATGAAAATGAATTAACTGCATTAGAAACTACAATGAAAATCAAGCGGGCATAAGAGAGGAAATTAAATATCTTTGCAACAAAATTCTTTTAAAAAGCGCAACATATAGTTACTGAGTTTTGTACTGAAATCCAGTGGAGTCTACATAGCATTGTTGTTTGTATTTATACATGTGTCTTCATTCCTCAACCATCACACCGACTTGAAGCTAAGAAAAAGTGAACACTTCCCAAGCAGGCATCTTACTGGCAGTGATCTCCAAGGCCAGGAGGCAAAACTTTTACTAGTAACATTAAAGCAGTTCATTTATTCATTACTTAATAGACTACTAAGCAGCTGAATCTTTAAGTATATCGTGTAATTTCTTAGTAGATGTATATATTAATAATCTTAATCCTCAGCATACTTAAAAAACAAAACTTTAAATACATTTTAGTGGAATAAATACTGTGCCATGCTGACTCCTCCCAGCTGTCATAGAACAAGAGGCAGGGTATGCTCTGGAGAGGTCGGCAGACTGTTGGGGGGCCAAAACTTACGCGGCTGACAACTGTTCACACTTACAATCACACACAGGAATCATCAATTAGTCTTTGAACTGTGAAAGAGAGTTGCAATGTTTGAAAGGTCATAGCCTTCATCAAACTCCTTTAATGTGCAACTAATTCTTGACTGCAAGAAAAACAACTTGATAGCGGCAAGTCAGCTGGTTTGGTTCACAGGTGAACTCAGCACTGTGAAACTCCCAGTGGGCCAGTGGCTGGCCCACCAACTTGTTCACCATACCTTTCTGCTAGTCCTTAGCCACTGGGCAATTCATTGGGTGGAGCCCTGAGTGTACTGCACATGTGTGCAAAATTAAATGCAAATACATCCTGACAGACAGACCTCTTTCCGTACTGAGGACCTGGACCTGATTGGGACTCCTCGAATACGGGCACAGGCATCCATAGTGACAGCTAGCTGTACGTGGCTGGTTGGCCGGCTGGCCTTTCACCTGTAAGGAGAAAGAAAAGTGGATAAAAAAAATATGTTAAAGTGTGAAGTTCAACTTCTTCAACGACTTCTATTGTCACTTTGAATACCACAGCTAAGTCTTTTTCTATTTTAATCTACAATCCTCTGCAAGTAAAAGAGAGCAGCTCAGTGTGATCTCTCTGGTGCGCTTACATTCCACTCCACTTTCCCACCCCCCTGACCACAGCAACAATCACATGACAAAGCAATGACAGTCTCAGTGTTATTAGCAAGAAGCTATGTCCCTATCTAGTGTTGCACATAAATACAGATGCCAAAATAAGAAGCATGATGCAACAAAGTCAGTGGGCTGTGAAGATGATAGTTCCACTAACATGAATCAAGTGCCTCAAAGCAGGACTTACCTAGACTTACCCTGCTTGTGAAGCTAAGCTATTGTATTGTACTGGCAATGCTTCTTTTCTTTCTCTTTGCTATTCTTTAAACAGCCAGGCCTGCATCAAAGATCAAACAGCAAGGCAAAAGAACAGAGGGGTGTATGCGCTTAGAGCAGGACGACCACATTTGGTAAGCAGCATGAGAGCGCGAGTGATGGAAGCAAAATATTTACAGTGTACAAGAAGGAAAAGTTTCCCAAGAAATCCAAGCCTCTCCTTTGAGGTACGGGCCAAAGTGGCTAGTTGAGTCTAGACGCAGGCAGGCGGTCCTACTGATCAGCCCATCCTGCATCCTGAGAACCAGAGGGGTAGAGTGCATGCCACAGGCTTCCTCTGGTGATCCAGGACCTCCTAGCTTCGCAGCTACTGCTGCCTAAAAATCAACTATGCAGCACACCCCACTTCACTCACAACAAAAGCAGCCACAGTGATGTATATTATGGCGGTGACTAATTTGCATAAGTAGATTGTTAATCTGTTTATGTTTCATGTTTAGCTCACAGACTTGTCATTCAGTGGTACAGTTTGTGAGAATCGACTCAGGAGGCCTATATCACCACCTTATGCAACCAGCGTGGTCACATAATGCGAAATGGATTCAGCATTAGTCATGTTACAGGAAAAACTACAATTAAGGGTAACTAAGTTTAGGCTTACACAAATCCTCCAGGGCTGATTCATAAAAGTCAATTATCAATGTTTGGACAAAACAAAAAAAAAAAAAAAAAATTATGACGCTAAGTCAAGCCAGCGAGAGGATTGTCTGGTGGGGGGAGCTGATGATCTAAAATGGGTGGCAGGGGGAAAAAAAAACAAAAAAAACAAAGCCAACCTGTGGAGGGCTATGTAGTCTATATGTAGTCCAACATCTTGTTTGGTTGGGATCTGATGTGGGCCAAATTCTGAGGGTGAGTGTGGGTGGCCGGAAGGGTGGATAAACAGAGACAGGGAGAGAAGAAAACTCACAGCTCACTGTGAGATCTGACACCAGCTTCTAGTGAGACACAGGTACCACTATGGTTAGAGATAAACTGACTTTTTGTTTTCCAATATCTGTCATTATTGCAAAAAGACAATCACGTGGAGGCCAGTACATTTCAGACATGGCAGCTGCAGAACAAATATGTGCAACTCTGACCACAGAAGGACAAAACAGGTGTGGGGGTTTATTTATCCCACTCTTAGCAGGAAGAGAAATTAAGGTTTATATACTGCAATGGGAGAGCAGCAAATTTAATTTATTCACAATGAGCTACTTTTTGATTGGTAGACAAAACAGGTCAAAGTATTAAGCCTTAATGTTGCACAGCTTTAGGCTCGTCATTACCTCAATAACCTATTCATCTTTTGCTCACAGTGTAGTTCAACATACTTCATTTCATCTAAATCAAATGCAGTTGTTTTTTAATGTTGTTCTGAGGAATGTTGCACATGTACTTTTTATGTGGTGCAAAACACAAATACATTGATATAAAGAGAAGAAAAAGGTAGGACGAAAACAACTATTTAATTACAGCCCTACTGTACAGCTAATCATATGACAATGCAGTTTATATAAACATTAACTCAATAATTCTCACAACTTTCACTAATTATTTTAGTTTCGATGTTGGTTTTAGGTCAGGACTCGACTTTTTAAAAACATTTTGGAACAGCACAATGCAAATGTTCAGTTCCAGTGGCTTTTCCTTTAATAGCCACCACTGTGATGTTCCGAAATAACACGTGCAAATGTATTATTTTATAGACAAAATAACACATTTGCCATTTTCTATGTAAAATTTCTTTTCAACAAAATGATAACTTGATCTGCATGTTAACTGCTATTCGAACCATTTACATGTAAACATTTCGCATAACATGACTTGTTGGCATTGACAACTCCCCTTGAACACTGCATGCTTGTCGTCTTTATGGATGAATAAATGCCTGTAAACACTGCTAGATTTTTAATAGACGTAAAAAAGCATTGGGGTGCTTTGGAGGAAGAAAGCTGGCTAATTTACAGTTCGCGGGGCTGGTACCCCCCGCAGCAGCAGGCCGCAGAAGAGCCACACACCGTGGATGCTGAGGCTGATTCACGACTACTCAGGCTCTGTGAAATCATGGCCAGAACACACAAACGCCTAACCAGCTAGCTAGCAAAGGCACATTATACATAGACATACAGAGTACACAACAAACCTTGGGCACACTTAAAAAGACTGTCGACCACAGCAAAATAAACCTCTTTGTTAGTTGACAGGCTGTCAATCACTATGTTAGCAGCAGAACCAGGCCGCGGTCCGCTCGGTCTGTTGTCACCTTAACGTCGCCAGCTAGCACCTAGCCACCAAGCTAATGACAGCGCTACGACACATCCAGATAAACCGGCAGCAGTTTGTGGTCATTTTTCGTTTAGCATATACGTCGCAATTGCTATTAGTAAGTCATTTTTACCTCTTCGCTCAGTGTCGGACTCCAGCAGCGCTGACGGTAGCCGCTGTGTTTGATGCGCGATTCGTAAACGATTCACCCGTTTGGAACTCTTCCGACCACAGAATGAAAACGTGAACTTTCAAGTCACACTGAGCACAGCAGTGTTTAGGACCTCTGTGATTAAATACCATAACTATGTCAATTCTACCCAATCGCCAAAACACAGCCCAAAAGTCACCGGGAGGAGCTCAGGCAAATTACAGATTAATTTAGACAGCTCCTAAACCTGACTCGAAATCCCCATCTACTGCGTGCTGCCGTTCTTCCCATGAAAACAAGAATGAGGCATAATCAATCGCACACCGAAAAAAAATATATAAGTGTCGCACTGCCGCTGAAGACAGAACAATGAAAACACAGGCGCGCACACACACACACATACACTGACACCTACACTGAGTATTATTTAAAAACAACAACAATAACAATAAAATGCATCATCATAGCAAACCGATTTTGACATATACCTGGCATAGATATATATTGCCTTCTTGTTTGACCACCCACCCTTCATCGTTCTGGATACCTTTACTTATCATGTGAAAATCAACACCAATAATATAGCTGGATAGTCTTTCTGTTGGTTTTAGCTTCTTGGGATAAAAATAAATATCAGGAGGAATTTTAAGCAGAAAAGTAGAAGTGAGCTACAGCAATACCACAAAGAGAGAATATCTCAGTAAAGAAAAGTCTAATCATAAGAGTGGATGCGGAAGGAAATGCTCGGGGGTCTGGTCGTATAAAATAGCTCTCTAAATGCCACAAAGGTCTGAAGTCACAATGTAGCTATTCTTTTGTTTGACACGAGTGATTAATCTCACAGCACAACAGAGAAACTGTAAAGTGTAAATTCCCAAAACATATTAGCAAAAATTAGCTTCACTTGGAAAGGTTTGGGGTGTTAACAGGTGGAATTCTAGGCCCGCCAGCTGTGTTATGTTGAGATACTGTGGGCTTACAGCAAACAGACCTGCTAACCTGTTGCTACAGTCATCATCATCTCAAGCTAAGGTTGCTTTGATAGCAAACATCAACTCATCTGTGTTTGTCATCTACCACACACAGGTCGGGTCAGAGCACAACAGTAACATGGTTTGCAAACCATTAAGTAGTAGTTTAGGAACTGTGGGCAGTAGCTAGATTCTGCTGGAAAAAGAAATGGACGTCTCCATGAAGCTTGTCAGTAGATAGCATCATGAAGTTCCCTTCCTGGTAAACAGCAGCACTGACTTTGGACCAAAAGCAGCAACAACAGCTGCTGACCCCCCAAATTAGCATGTGGAAACTTCACACTGGACTTCAAACACTCTCCACTGTTCCTCTTTCCTTCCTGACTCTTGGATGCTGATTTCTAAATGAAATGCAACATTTACTTTCATCTGAAAAGTGGACTAGGACCAGAGTGCAACAGTGTGGTTCTTTTTTTTTTCTTAGACCAAGAAAGATGCTTATAATATCTCCAGTTATTCAAGGTTCAAGGTTCAAAGTTCTTTATTATTTGTCACATGCATAGTTATACAAGTATAACACACAGTGAAATGTAGCAAAAAAAAAAAAAAAATTGATATTAGGAATGTAACAACCGAAGGTTTTACTCCTGGTCATCCCAGTTGCTTGTGCGCCTTTTACTACCACACTTTTCACCTCCAACGAGGAAAATTGATTAATACAGCTCTCTGCAAACAGGCAACTTTTTTAGCAGTGATGTTCTGCAGCCCTGTTGATGATCATCTGGATAACCACAACTGGTCTTCCCCATGACTGTGGTTGTGTGTACTGACCTACAATAAGAGATGTATTGTAGTCATACTATTTGAACAGTAATTTATTCAAACTCTGATATGATTGATATGATTTTATTTGCTTTATTTTCTGTACTGCAGGTCACAATTATCAAAATGAAAATAGAAAATGTCTTTGTAGGCATTGTTGTTTGTATGTGCCTGGATATATTCAAATTTACCCCTTTTAAATTTTCTGTGGCACACCTGTATACTGTTCCAGTGTTGGATGCTCCTGTTAAACGCAACCAACGTTTCAAATAATGAGTGTAGTGTATGTGCAAGTAATCCATTTGAGATAAATGTTCAGGTTTCAGACTGGACTCAAAACTTCAGTCACTTTTTTCTTCTATTGTTGAGAACTTGACTGATTTAAGCTGAATAGTATTATCAGCAGACATGTACCAGTGTATCTGGTGCCATGTACAACAGTCGAAAAATACATTTGAAAAATTAAAAAGTTATGAGTGTTAACAATGCATAGTTTGCCCACCAGAGGGCACTTTGAAACGTTCCCATTGGCAAAACACCTGTTTGGAATGCCACAAAAACAACAAACAAGCTGATCAAAGCAGAGAGAGCATAAAAGAGTAAACAAACCAGCCAGTTTATTTAGGAAATTTGAGTATGTTTTGTTGTTCTTTCTAAGAAAAATTAATGGCTGATATACATTTTCTGGTCACCACCTTCGTGCCACCCCATTTAAAAAGGGCTGTGTTGCATTAAAGGAGATAGAATGGCACTAACGTGTTCCATTTTCTCGACATATTTTGAAATTATAAGACACAATCCTTTTGTTTAAAGTGTTAATGAAAAAAGAAGAGCCTGTCAGATTGCATATGTATCCGATTTTATTGAAGAAGAGATATATGAATAGGTAGCCTGTTTCAAGGCACCTTAAAAATGTACAACAAAAGCTGAACCATTTATTTATTCAGAATACAAAAATACACATCTCAGTGACTCCAAATTGTAATAAATAGTTAACCATGCATTCTAACCATAAAAAGGCACAGAAAACAGTCACTTAGTAGTCATAAAAATGATCAACTACTTTACCAAAATCATCCAGATAGTAATACAGGTGACAACTGTAACATTATATTCCAAATGTGAAAACACAATACACATCATATCATTTAACCTTAGGCAATAAATATGCAAATATTGTCTATACCTACATATATCTCCTTAAAAAGTAAAACTGTGCCATTGTAAACATAATGTAAACAAATGAAACTCACTTTTCTCCCAACGCTTCGATAACCACACCAAGTGTTAAATCCATCTTTTAGAGATCCTTGCATGGGTTTCATTGGTTTTTGAAAACCAGGCAGTTTGCAGCATTATTTACAGACCACTGGAAAACACAGCAAGGGAGAAAGGTGGCAACTTCCACTGTATATGGCAAGGTCAAGCTGGAGCCTGGGGCCAAAATGCTTCAGATTAACAGAACCTGGCAGACACCCTGGACATGCAGACGCCATTAATGCAGACAGACACAGCTCATGAACTGCAACAGCATCATTCACAACTTGCGTTTGGTGACTGGCGTGATGAGAGTACATGGATGTGAAGCCAAACTTCAAGAGCGCTGCAGCAAAGAAGCAGCGTAGAGCACCCTAGCGCTGTATAAAGCACATACTAACAGAAAGGCTTCTATAACAAAGGGTTCTGGTTTACAAAAGGCTAACTGTCATTAGTCTCATCTATTTAATGGATAAAAGGCATATGAGACTAAAAAGATGGGAAGGTCTGACAAATTTGTAGTTTTATGAACACTGAATGATAAAAACTCAAATTGGACTGTAACTTTATTTATGCCAATGAGCACCTGATTGTCAGCATAAGGAGCTGGAAGATAATGCAGTTTAATGGTGTAATCCAGGCCTGTAGAGGTGTGAGATGTGATAGATTGCCCCCTGGTGGAGGGAACACACAATTCCAAAGTTTCGTTCACATTCTGCTAGGGTGGCATATTAGTCTATGGGTGTGGCAAAATTTTCAATTATACTGTAAAATTAGCTGGCAATGAAAAGTATACAACTGTACTAAGGTACAATATGCCACTGTTGTAGTACACACACTTGAATGCACACGTTACAACAGGATACATGAAGTGAACACAACAGTCATGCCTGCCTAATCCCTCCCATTCGCTGGCACAGTCCTACTTTAGTGTATCATCTTGGAAGCACAAAGGAGCAAAACTATAAACTACTGAACCCCTGGAAGAAATCTGGAGTAAAAAGCTGTCTGTCTGTCTCTGGGTCTAACTTTGAAAATCCTCAAACCTCGAGGAAGAGTACAAAAGAACGTTTACAAGGTTTTTCTGTGGTGTTTTTTTTTTTACCCACCGAGGAACATCATGTTTGGAAAGTTTCAGAGACAGTATCAAAACAAGAGATTAAAATATTGCACCATCATTAGAATACAACAGCATCATCATGTACAAGAGATTAGAACAAAATCAACAACAACTGGTATGGTGTAATGTACACAATCAAATGTGTGGGCTGTCGACAATGCATGCCATGTCTACAAATGCATCAGATTACACTTACAAACATTGTTTGCATACACTGGTTTACTGTATATACAGTGCATAATTATATACAAACTTAGCATCACATATAGAAATATACCCTGTAATGCCACCAGTCTTAAATGAAACTAACAATTAGAAGTAGCATTCTAGCAAAGTCTCACTTGGAATTTGAAGGAGAAAAAAACTGAAAAAGCTGCACTTGAACAATGTTAAGCAGACTGCAGATCAACTGCTCTATTCAAAACTCATATCTAACTCCTCAATAGTGTTAAATACTGTATTAAGTTGCCAAAAGGTAAAAAGTTGAGGTGAACTGTTAACTCTATGCAATGATATGAGGATTTGCACTTGCATGAAGCAAGAAGTAGAAAGTGCCTGTTTAAGAATTCCATTAAAAAATCTCTACAACCCTATAGTATAGGTGGTTGGCGTCTGACCAACAGTTTTACTCTCTTCCTGACTAATACAGCTTTTTCCCACCTTAAATGAAATTAAGACTTAAAACCTACTGGCTTATTAAATAAAGACAAAACTGTCTGATGATTTCTTCGACATTCACTTTGGTACTGATTTTTCACATCCACAGAGAACGTGTCAACTTATTAATTTCATATAATCATAACTCATCGATAACTTGTTTAAAAATTTCTTACGATGTCTACCATTAAAGCACGTCTTACACGAAATGACTCAAAATATGGCACTTGACAGAAACCTTTTAAACATGTCATTATCATGCAAACAAAATAATTTAAAGCTAGAATAAAAAGTTGGATTTAGACCAAAAATGATGTTTTCAGTAGTAACAAATGGCATTATAATACTTAAGTTATGTAAAACTTGTTCAAGTGTCATTTTGCACACACACACACAGACACACACACCCACACACACACGCATACACACAAAAAAAATCAAGACACTAATCATGCAATTAAACACATCTAAGGTTGAGCAAGCATAGCATGCAACAGTATCCCACTGTTTTCAAACAAAGCTTCCAGACAACCACCTGCATGGTCCAGATTATTCTGTTCTGCATGTGCAGCTCTGTAATGTGAGGCAGAGAGCCAGCAAATACATTTTTTTACACAGACTCAACTGAAGCAGAACCCCACACCTATGGAAGTCTTAGTTTTGCTACTAGTTTGTTATCACAACTCAGACAACAAGCTGTCAACAGTAAGGTTAGTTGCATACCTGATTATGTGCTATGAATGGTTATTAAATAAGAAATGGCTTTTTTGTGTGTGTGACTTCCATCAGCGTTCTCGATTGTCATTTTGGCACCAAAGAACAAACAAACACACGCACATGTATCTTGATCACGACATCACACAGACTTTCTCAGCAGAGGGATCAAATATCCATCTCTCCTTCAATACATATCTCTTCCGCCACTGCCTATGGTGCTCCCAAACACTTCCACTAAGTCAGGAGGAATGCACGTTTCCCCTTTCTGGTAGTGTTTGCTCCTGGGTTAGAGGTCAATCATGGAGGCCTTGGCCAGGTCTTTAGTTCCCTGGAGAATTCTCTTCATATGACCCACTTTCGATATCCCCAGATCCTGAGGGCCAACAAAGACAGGAATTAAAAACACGCTGAGAGAGGTCTGTTTCACACCATCATAAATAAATGTCGAGTGGGTGATATAAACAGTCTGGTATGAACAGCACTAGAAATCAAACGTTTAAAGGCTACACACCAGGCTGCTTCATAATCTATAGTGGGAGAAATCAGTATTAATAGTGTCAAAACTATAAAATATTAATAATTAAAACATTTCATAGTGATCTAACAAATATATCTTAGGAATATTTAGGCAAATCATGCCCACAGAAATATATCTTTAATCAAATTTTCTTTAGAAGCTACTAAAAGCTATTAGGTGGGCTGCCATTCATGTCACATTTGAGATAAATTACGATATATATAGTTATCATTTGCAGAAAAATGTAAACTGAATATAAATTTCCACTGACATCATGAGCAATGTGTTAATGAATAGATACTAATGTACCAAACTAAGACTGTGAAAATGGTTCGATGGTTAACTTGCCATATTTTTTGCTCTGGTTTTGGTCAGCACCTTCTGTGAAAATGATCTATTGCTTTGGCAGCTAAAAGCCATAGACTGTATAATACAGACTTAAATCCCTCTTGTTGAAGGGAGAGGAAAACTGATTTTAGAAAAGTCTCTGAGAAAATGAGCTCTCAATTGCCAGTATCTATCACTAAGCACAACAGCTTCAATACATCATATGGCATTAATATTGTCTGTAATGATACGATATAGAGTAACCAAATAAAAAAAAGGTGGATAGCTATTAATTAGAAGTTGCCTCCAGTGTCTTCAGATTTTCATAAAGATCCAACCCTCAGATGTTCAGTTCATGTTTGACTGTTCAAATTCCCCGGTAAGTATGTTCATTTAAAGCCTGAAGTCAACTAGTGAAAACCTAAAATCCAAATAAATATCATAATCACATTAGTTTCAGTATGCTCCCAAAGCTAGCTTACTAGCACTAGTACTATTGTTAGCTTATTAGCTACAAAATTAGCTCCAAATATGTTATGAGTAATTTTAAAAGACCTGGAAAAAGCCCCAAGGCTTCAAATTAGTAAACCAAAATGTAACCTTGTCTTTTCTGATCTTATTAGATGCAACTTTGTGCATTGCACACAAGCATCGGCAATTTGTTATGTTTTCTAACCATCGATGCATTTTTTGGAACTCCAGGCAACTCCTCCAGCTCAAACGGGAGGCAGAATGGGAGGGGGGACAGCTGTCTAGGGTCTGTCCCTAGGGCCTCTTCCCAGAAAAGCCTTGTCACTACCCAGAGCACATGGCCATAGGGGAAGCTGGGGAGACAATCAACAAGCAAACTGACAGTTTTGCTTATACGCTCAGCTCTCTCTTCACCACAACAAACTGGTACAGCGTTGCATTACTGCAGACGTGGCACCAATACATCTATCAGTCTCCAGCTCCACTCTCCCCTCACTTGTGAACAAGAACCTGAGATGCTTAAACTGTGGGGCGGTGACTCCTCCCTGACCCAGAGTCGGCACTCCATCCTCTTCCATGGCCTCAGACTTGGAGGCTCAAACAACTAGCAAATATGTATTTAAGACAAAGGAATCAGAGTCGGTTGGCCTTTAAATGACTCAAAACAATCAATGTATATCAATAAACAATATATATCAGTCACTGAATCTGTACTTTTATCCATTCAAATATAAACTACCAAGCAACATAGACAGCTAGCCACAGTATGACTGAGTGATAAATTGTAAGACAATGAAATGAGGGGCACAGATATAGAACGAACACAAGTATATTGCCATACAAATGTGAACCTGGGTATCTTGTGTGTGTTTGCATAAACAATGGTATTCAATTTTCTTGTACTGATATTTTTAACAAATCAAACAGGTAGATTGATTTTACTTGGCAATACCAGCTTATCACAGATATATTATCAGTGCAAATATCAGCCAATTATTATAGGATATCTAAAGATACATAGTTGTTGCTTACCAGTGTTTCAGCTTAACATGTGTAAAGAGATGGTCAAGAAATCAAAGGAAAATAACCTTAAACCTTGACCTAATATGGTGTGGGGGGTATTTTGATGCTATTGGTTTATGTCCACCTCTCTGTGTAGAGAAAAGAGTCACTGAAATGTCAAATCAAAATTATTCTGAGTGATAACCTTTACCCTATGATGAAACATTTGTATTTTTATGGGAGTGGTCTCTAGGATAAAAACACCCTCATCATCAGTTTTCATCTGAGCACAAAAAAACCCACGAAGCATTAACTGTGCAACTGAGAGTATTGAGGAAAAAAAAGTCCATACTTGATTTAAATGTGGTTAATAATAACTTCAAGTTTGTCTTCTTGTGCACCTGTGCTTGGCTTCCAGTGTCCTTCTATTTTAAGATCGTTACCTGGAGGTTCAGTGGATATTACACAACCCAGATCAACATTATTATTATTATTACGAGTTGCCTTATACACTTCACTACAGTGTATTATGAAAATAGCATCAAAAACCACAGTCATGTTCTAACTTACATTACACAGTAAAGAATGTGCTTTTGACTTTTTTTGACAGATTGTTTTAAAGTAGAATGCTCTAGTCCTCATGTTCTGATATACACGTTGACAGTATAATCTGAAACTGCAAGCTGTTTTGTTTGACAAGTGTTTATATGCATACGACTGAAGACAGTAGAGACTGCACAAGCTTTCGAACAGTTCCTAGAAAGGCTATGTTTCTGCTCCCTTTGTTCGCTCCACGTTCATGTTGCAACACAGTTTTTTCAAGACTGCCACTATATGCATTCATTTTTTTCTCACTTTTGCCCTAAGCCTAACTCAGTTTGGTCTATCCACACCGAGCCCCTCCTTGACCTGAAGGCTTCCCCCCTTTTCAGCAGGTATACAGTGTTAGTGGGTTACAGCAAGTCTTTTTCAACAAGCCACGATCAGACGGTAAAAGCCAAGCAGAGCGATGCAGCGCAGCACGAGAGGTGGCAAAAACAGGGAGACATCTAACAGAGCGAAAGAAACGCAGCACACCAAGAGGGTACAGAGAGAAAGAGTTGATTTTGGATTGGAGGAGGGGGTTCACACAGATTCACTGAGATGTGACAACAAGTGGGTACCAGTGTGTGCGTGTGTATATGTGTGTGTGAGTGAGAGAGTACCTTCAGGTCCCTCCTCTCCAGGTGCAGCAGCTCTGAGCCTCGGATGTCGTGTCGGATGAAGGTGTCTCTGTACTCCCCCAGACTCAGCTGTTCCAGCCAGATGCCCACCTCCTCTGTGCCCCATCTTTCCACTGTACACGCACACACACATGTGCGCACACGCACACACACGCACAAAAATGCACACACAGAGCAGAGCAGAGAGAGGCTCAGAGTGCCTCACGGGTATGCAAACGCACTGCCACATTCCACAAACTGTCACACTCTCACTTCTTTTAACCACATATACTCTGTGAATGTGTCTTCAAACACACACACACAACCTCACCAATGGACACAGATTGTGGTAAATCATTGAAGAGAGAGATGGAGGGGAGGAAGGGAAGAGAGAGAAGAAGGGAGGAGAAAGAACAATGACGGCAGCTGGTAGATGAGGAAGGAGTGGGACAGAGGCCAAAGGTTGGTCAGAACAAGGCAGTGACCAATGGCGTTCACGGCAGGCTGGGAGCATGCACATCATTGACCAATATCAGCGCACACAGAGAAAAGTAGGAGGTAAAGGGAGGCGGAAGCCTGTGCAATCTGCAGGAAATACAGCTCAACTACCCAGGAAAATGCCCCAGATAGAAGGAAGGGCTTCTCAGTATACTTATTTGTACACAGCAACATTGTAATCTCACTGTCTCCTCATCTACAAATCCTATATTGCCTTTTCTACTCAGTTTTTCTTTTTTGTGTTCATATGAACTCTTCCATCTCTGCACATGTGTCCTTGGTGCACAGACTTGTTCTTCTCCCGACTTTGTACCTTCTGAAAACATACTGACAGCTGGATAAGAGCATGAAAAGAGGGGAGTATGGGGTGCAAGTTGATGGTCAGGGTGTGGGATGTTAACACCTCAAACACATTCAAACACACATTCTTTGTGTTTCTACTAGGGGACAACAATGGAGTACAACATTTATGCATGGGCTTCAAAAACAACAGGAGTGAGGGGCAAGATAACCATCATGAAAGGTAACCGTGATGACTCTGGGCAGAAACAAGCTGTTCTTGTGTGTGTGATGGAGCAGTGGTCAGCTTTACATTACTGAAGAATAAAGTATGGTACCACTTCCCGCTAAACATCTTGCTTGCCATTAGCAAGTGAATAGCAAGTGAAATAACATCTGTACCCTTTCAATTCAACTAACTTCAAGTTATGATTAACAAATCAAAAATTACTATGATTTTATTGTTATCATCCTTTTTAATAAGAGGTGGAAACAATTATACAGTGTAAATACAAATAAGGCAGCTAGTAAGTAAGTCCCTCCCAAGGCAGATGGGAGGGACTTACTGATTCCTTATCCTGAGTTTTTCCAGTTTGCTCAGTACTGAGGAAAAGTGGACACAGCCCTACCTGATTGAGGGCTTGTCTTCTTGGTGGCCTTCTCCTTCTTGAACTTGGGCACTATGCGAAACATGCTGCTGCGACTGTTCCTCTTGCCGTAACCCAGAGAGTGATCCTGGTACATAAGCACAGTCAACCTATAGCCTTTTATTTAGCTACTCGACTCTCCTGTTACCTGAAGCCATGCTACACTGAAGACATACAGGACAGCTGCAAGACAGCTGTGTGAACACTTTGGATTTAGCTGGTCAGTAACTGATCAGTCAGTCATCTAAGCCACAAGTATTAATATGTATGCACACTATGCTTAAACCGATAACAAACTATTATTATCTTTCAGTCCTGGTGGGAAAGTTACTTACTTTACACTTACTGACAGCCTCCAATTAGCTTTTGTTGTTCTGAGTTTTTGTTTTCCAAATATTTTTCCCTGTCAGAATATTAGGGATGGACAAGAACAGCACAATGATTTGTGTGTTAAATTTGAAGCTCATATTTGTACTTTCAGTGACAATGTGACCATATTTGAAGGCACTGTTATTGCAGATAACTCCATAGTGTTCACTTTTAGCTTTGAGTTGCAGGAGTACACAATGTACCTAATGTCTTCTATTTTACAAAGATACCACACACAATGGAGCATGTGCATGCAAACGCATATTTACTGAGGCTGCTTACCTCCTCATCATTGGGCTGCAGGATGTGGTAAAGCCAGGGGATTTCTCCCAGTTTCCCAAGTTCCAGCTCCACGCTCTGCAGAGCGCTGGACAGCTGCTCCTCCTCTGGTGGGTCCAGTTGCTGTAAGGATGACAGAGAACAAGGTGAATTTAACACACCATAATGCAACCTTAACATCAGGACCCCAAGTTATAATAAAACCACAGACTGTAAATACAAGATGGATGTAGCAGCAAATGGCAAAATCCTGTTATGAAGTCTCAGACTAAGCATTCTTGCATTCCCCCTATGCCGGATGAGCGAGAGATGGATCTAGGTATATATTTTATACAGCACCCTAAGAGGACCAGTGACTAATTCATCACAAAACAGGTCTGCCTTAAAGCATAGCCCACTTGACTTTCTTGGCTGCAGTGGACACCATGACTTACAAAAACAACATCATGTTGTATTCAGCAAGACCAGAAACTGGTGACTTAAACTATAAACTGATCAGGAAAGTATTTACGAAGGGCACAGAGCAAGTGAGCCAGGGGCTGTTTTCCATAACAAGACTTCTGTCTGTGATCCCCTCCACCAAGATTCTTTCACCATTAGAAATAATCTAGTTTTAAAGTACACTGCCTTCAAGTCTTTGTTTCATAAACATATAAAAAGAAAGTAGGATTGAAACAATCTATTTCAGCCATGATAACTCACCAGAGAGACTCGGCCCAACAGAAGAGACTCGGTCTCATTGTGGAGTGCCTTCATAGTGCTGGCCACCTCAATGGCTGTGTTTCGAGTAAGGCTCTGTAAAAAGAATTCAATGTTACACACCATGAAAAACAGAAGCAGAGTGCACATATTTCACACAGTTCTAGATGCTATTTTAGTAGCTTAGCCTCTCTTCAGGGGTTTAATATGGGGTAAAGTAAGTGCTTAATCAGAACAAGTTAAACAACCCTTAAAACATCAATTAACAATGGAGGTAATTCACACATTGCCACATATAGTAATTACTTAAAGGGCACTTTTATTATTATATTAATGGCCAATGAAGAAATAAACTTAGCTGAACTTTTAGCAGCAGTTCAACTAAAACTGTGAATGTTGTAAACTGGACTCAAGTACTCAAGTACTTGAAATATGGCAGAAAATACCACATTTTAAAAGATTTGTCTGAAACACAGTGCCTAGCTTTTAAAGATTCAAATCTCTCAAGAGCAAGAAATTGCACCTGGAACAGTGCTCATTAGTCTCCTTAAAACAATAAGTGGTACATCTTAAATGTAAGCTTTGACTTCAGTGACCTCTAATGGCAAGAAAAAGTCATGTTTATTTTACAAGAATTAATTATTTTAAACGGCAGTTTTAAGGATGCAACAGTGAGTTGTAAAAGACTTTCTCAAGACAATGTCAATGTCTCAAAAATCAGGCTAAACCCAGCTCACCTCGGGGAACTTCGGGTGTGTTTTGTTGATGGCGTGTGATGCAGCATTAACAGCGTGAGCCAGTTCCTGCTCTAAGAGCCCGTTCGTCTTTGCAGCCTCACATATCCTGTGATTAGACAGAGCGCAGTCAGTGAGCTTAGCTCAAGGTAACAAAGTCTGGGAAGCCTGTCCACACGGCGACTGATACCTGATATTCACATCAATTCAAGTTTACCTTGTAATGAGCTCTTCTGCAGCCCGGGCACACATCTGCACCAGGCCTGCCTCCTCCTCTGTGGCTAGATCCACAGACTGCTGAGGGTAGAGGTGAGGTCGCAAAGGAGGCTTATCATACTTGAGCTTGTCCTCCCATGACTTCAGTGTGTTCTCAAAAGCCTGCGGGGTAATTTTGAAGAAAACACAGATAAGTATATACATATATATATATATCAGGGGTAGGCAACCTTTCTGATGGCGAGTGCCATTTAAAATTTCCTCAGAAGTCAGTGTGTCATATGATTGCATTAGCAATAAATTTAATAACGCTCTATATGAACAGTTACACACTACATAGAACAAGTTTACAGAATTATATTTGTTTGCAGATGTTGGCAGCTATCAGCAAATAGTTATCAGCTATTTTGAAACAAAAAAAGACACTTTTTATCCATAACAGCAAATGAACTGTACAACAGAAAATACAAATGCTATTTATGGTCTCCTCACAAGAATGATAAGGAAAGATAAACTAAGCCAATATGGCATGTTTGTTAATACAGAGACACACATGTTAATGTGATCTCTGGTCTCCCACTCAGAGACACAGGTCTCCGAGTGTCCAGCATTCAGAGGCTACCTGAGGACTCATGTGAGAGAAAATCTGCTCACACAGATATGTAGAGCCAAATACTGTCAATAAGGCCTCTGCAATGTTCTGAAGACAGTTAAACTTGTCAGGTAGTGATGTCCAGCAGGTGAAAATGCACAGCTGTGGATTCCAGCTGCTTCGATGTTGCATTAACTGGCATTAACTCAGCCAGTTAATGCGAGACAAATCTAGCTGCTCATTAAAGATTTCTGGTTTGATCAGAAAATAAAACATTGGTCCATACACCTGAAAGTCCCAAAAATGCATTGTGTCTCGAGTCTACGGATGTATCCGTGTATCTCCGTGGTGCTGATGCTGTGCTGAGCGGACAGCTCCTGAAGCTTTTGAAGTGTCGGAATTGGAAAGCTAACAACGTCCCTCTACCAGTAGGCTAAGTTATTTTTAGCCAATTAATTCAATTCAATTCAATTTTATTTATATAGCGCCAAATCACAACAAAAGTCGCCTCAAGGCGCTTCATAGATACAGAGAAAACCCCCCGATGAGCAGCACTTTGGTGACAGTGGGAAGGAAAAACCCTCTTCTAACAGGAAGAATCCTCCAGCAGAACCAGGCTGCGAGCTGATTTCGATGTGCACCGCTGGCGCGGCCATTTATTTTTTAATGCACCTTCTCAGATTAATTCACTGCGTGTCGTGCCCAGGGCTGGACTGGGACAAAAAAACAGCCCGGGCATTTTGACTAGAGACCGGCCCACCAGGTATTAAAGCCATAAAGCCTTTGAATGAAAACAAACGCTGTTGTGACAGTGATGTACAGTCTTGTTGGTATATGTATGATTTCTATACATTTTACGTCAGATAAAAACTTTGGTTGTAAGCTTCAGATAATTATTTAATAACAGCCAGACATTTTAAATGAGATAAGAAAGTATTTCAAGGTCCTGGTGTTATTTGTCTCTCAGAAACAGTTCATAACTTCCCTTCAACTCATTCATGTCACCTAAAAGGTAAACCTGTTTCTCCATCACCTGTTCAGCTCTGATGATTCAGTGAGGACATCTCCTGGTTTCATCTTCATGTTTCCCTCTCACCACATATCCAAACCGACATCATGACCAGCAGCTTTACAGCTGTGGCTCCAACAAACATCAGCTGATACTAGAAATAAATATTAAATAAATTCTAACAACAGCTGATCGAGCTTAAACGTGCTGCTATTTAGCGCAACCTCCGCTGGTTTCCTCTTTCTGGCGCAAAGTGAGCGATAAACAAACACGAGAGAAAAGCCGATCAGCTGATCATTGATCAGTTTCATGATTAAAGTAGCAACAGGAGAGGGAGGATGAGAGAAGAAGAGGCAGCTGTGCAGCGTAACGACAGAATAAATCCACCTTTGTGTCTTTTTCCATCCTAGACAAACTGCGTCCCTTCTCAGCTCAACACGAAACGGGTAATATTTTCTCTGAATGCAGGACGATTCCGTTTGTACGGGACAGTTGGCAACTCTACTAACTAACCTTATGAATAAAATAAAGTTCACTATCAGTAACATCATAGCACCCACCCAGCTGTATAGAAACTCCGTCATGCTAGCTAGTACGCAGTACTGATGGTAAAAAGTCACCACAACGAAAATAAACTCCACCTAAACTTGGTTTATATCTGACCCAGATAGACTGCAGGTCATAACTTCTTACCTGAAGTTCAGTTCACCTGACACTTGAACCGGCGGCCACCTCGGGTCTCTCCTCCTCCTGCCTCCCCTCTCCCTCATCCACCTGCTGGCCTCCACCACTTGTTAATTTTACTGAATCTGTGGAAGCTCCGCTATAGCCACCACCAAACAACTGAGTTATTTTTACACACCGACCAGCATCTGGCCAATCCAACACCTTTCATTGTTTATACCGTTACAAAAAAAAAAATCATCGGCCCACCGAGCAAATGTCTGGTATGCCCGATGGCCAGTCCAGCTATGGTCGTGCCATCAGTTAACCCTTCGCATGCCAACTGTGGCTTGCCGACCCCTGATATATATATATCTACACAAATTGCTTTTCACTCAGCAACAGCAGCACCCTTCCTCACCCGGTCTCTGGTGAGCATCTGTGCTCTGTTCTTGTGCTGGATCTTGATGACTCCAGGCGGTTGGATCCAGGCCTCACCATCCACCTGAATAGGAACCCCCTCGTCACCCAGGATTGTAATCTTCACAGTTCGACACTGATTGAGGAAGACGCTTGGATTAGAATCACACAGTGTACAGACACAGAGACACAATTTGCACTTCATACGGTTTTAACGCATCTGCTCACCTGTGCTATGCGGTGGTGTTGCAATTTGATGACTCTGGACACAGCCATTTGCATGCTCCCAAAAACAGCAACCACTTCCAGGATCTTGTCATCGAAAGATGGAGCACAGAATATCTGCATAAAAACATTTTGGCAATAATGAAATCTATGTCAATGTAATGTAGCTGGAAGGATCCTAAAAGGATACAGTTGCCGCTATTTCAAATTTATGTAAATATTCCACATAAACATAAACAAAAGAAAAGCTAACATATTCAAAAATTAGTTTTCAGCAGCCCTTTAAAACAAACTACAGACTCAGCCAACCTGAGGAGGTTTATGAGCTACATCCAGCCTCTGGTTTTAAAATAAGGGACAGTTAAAGACCCAGTATCAGGGGCCTGGTCAGTTTGTCTGTGACCCAGCATCTCGAGTTTATTTAGCACTGTTGATTTCCCATGTTAGATTTGTGCGTTTTTCTTAGTTTAGGGTGTAGTTGAGTTATTTTGTATTTTTGATTACTAATGAGATAATGTTCAGGTCTGGTATTATTATTAGTTAGGGTTTAGTTAACATTCCATGTCCCAATTGCCAGTCTTGGTAGCCGGGGATCAATCCACCAGGACCTCCGCCCGGCTCACATTGCACCCGACCCATACGGTGCCACCTGCGGGTGGTGGGCCTGCAGGAAGATGGGCCCATGTCCCTTTTTCGGGCTGTGCCTGGCCGGGCCCCATGGACTAAGACCCGGCCGCCAGACGCTCGCCCTTGGGCACCCTCGCCGGGCCTGGCTCCAGGGCGGGGCCCCGGTAACCCTATCCCGGGCAGGGTAAACTGTTCCCTAGATGGTCTTTTCATAGGGGTTTTCTGAATCGCTCTTTGTCTGGTCCCTCACCCAGGACCAATTTGCCATGGGAGACCCGATCAGGGGGCAAAGGCCCCCAGACAACATCCGGGAGGGGCTCAGAGTAGAGCCGCTGCTCCTCCACATCGAAAGGAGCCAGTTGAGGTGGTTCGGGCATCTGACAAGGATGCCTCCTGGGCGAGGTTTTCCGGGCATGCCCTACTGGGAGGAGGCCCCGGGGCAGACCCAGGACACGCTGGAGAGTTTATATCGCTTGGCTGGCCTGGGAACGCCTTGGTGTTCCCCTGGATAAGCTGGAGAGGTGGCTGGGGAGAGGGAGGTCTGGGCTTCTCTGCTTGGGCTGCTGACCCCATGACCTGGCCCCGGATAAGCGGAAGAAAATGGATGGATGGATGGTTTAGTTGAGTTCCAGTCTAGTTTATGGTTCTTCTATGTCTCCTGATTTATGAGTCTTTTCCTGTCCTCTGTCATGTGTAAATGTCTGTGTGCTTACGTTGTCAAGCTTGTGTTGTCTTGTCTACATTCTATTATGTGTCTTGTGTTCCCTGTGGCGTCAGGTTCATTTGTGTCAGCTGTGTTTCCCCAGGTGTTTCCACTTCTCTCATCACCCTTCTGTGTATTTAAGTCCTCTGACTTCTTCTGTTCTTTGTTGGGTTGTCTGTTGTTTCCATGTCAGGTCATATCTGGTCAGAGTTTTCTTTCGATTGCTCAGGTTTTTTTCATGTTCATCTTCATGTTTTGCATGTACGTGTTCAGTTTCTTGTTTTAGTTATCGTAGTAATTTAGTTGCTCCCAGTTGACGCTCCACAAACACACCAGCCATCCCAACATTGAGCTGGATTGTTGAAATATAGATTTCGTTGTATTTTACCATTTCCTTAAAATGAGAAAATGAAGTAGATTTCCAAAATTGCCCTATGAAACCTCTAAACCTATTCACAGTGTTTACAAAATGAAGCAACCCAACCTGTAAAGGAGGTCCACAGAGCCATGTGCAAAAGGCAGCATACTGCCATAGGGGCCCATTTTCAGACACTATCACACCCATGCTCCTGTGGAACACCGTGTTAGCTGCACATTCAATTTATAGGCTGAAAGATTATTAGAAAAGTATTTTCAATCATGTTAGCACTGCTGACAACTGTTATGCTGATGAAAGAAGTAATTCATTTAGTCTGTTAAGCGTCTGTGTAGGTTTGAAAAGGGCCAAAGAAAGAGGCTTCTTTTCTGAAACTCACTGACAATGAATTCATGTTCTAGCTTGCAGACTTGAGCATGAATTCAGCGTCAGACTTTTTTTTTATTACAGTGAGAGATTGTGCGGACTTGTGAAGAGAATAATACACGCACAACTTCTTAAAATAACAAAATAACTTTATTCCTTAAAATAGAAACCTCTGACAAGTTTCAGAAACTCAACTAGACAGACTGATTAAGTGAACATGACTGCTGTCAGCAGTGCTAACATAACTAGACAAAGAGATCCCAAGCCTAATGATCATTAGTAGGATATAAGGTAACATAATGCGACACAGCAGTGAGGGGTGCTGAAACAGGCCTCTGTAGATCTAACGTAGAAATCTAATTGTTTTGACAACATTTTTGATCCATCACTTATATATAACATAAAATAATAGACTTAATTTCCAAGGGACCCCAAGATTTTGAGGAGTAGATCATATGTGTATGTTGTAAAAAAAATAAAAATAAAAAAATAAAAATGAAAAATTGTCAAATTTATTCCTGAATTTTCTTTTACACATATTTGTACTTCTAAAACAAACAAACAAACAAACAAACAAACAAAAAAAAACTTAGAAACTGCTGAAAAGCGATCAGGTGACCCTCTCAGTTGTCTTGTGGGGCACCAGCCAATAGATGGACACAGCCAGTGGGAGGGCACTGATCTGTGTGTTAGCAGGATCGGTCATTTTATCATTAGCTTTTACAATTACTAAGATGTATATTATCTTCTCTCTCTGTCTCTCTCTCTCTCCATATATATGTATATGTATAAAAAACTATATTTACTCCCACGTGTCAAAATGAATGATTTATTCCAAACAAAGGCAAAACTCTGATGATAATCTGTGCCTGTGTTTGTGCAGTCGTGTATATACTGTCTCTGTTTCTGCTTCCTCCTCTCCAGCAAAAACAGTTACATAACACCCAATGCACATTGCTGTATATGTGTGTGTGTGTGTGTGTGTGTGTGCGCCCCCACACACCCTCTGAGCCCTCTGCAGTGTGTGCAAACTGACACTCTAATCCCTCAGCCAGTGTGCTCTGAGCCTTAAACATACAAGCAGAGACATCTCTCTAGCCATCCTTCCCCCTGCACATCCAGGCTATCGGGGTCATGTCAAACAGGCGTCCACACTGTCATTCTTTAGGTAATATCAGAGAAGACAAAAAGAAGACAAAAAGAAAAAGAAGACAAAAAGAAAAAAGCTCCAAGCAGAGCGGAAAACACACCTGTTTTCATCCCTCAAAGATGATCTGAGTTTCCTACCAGGGCCATCCCAAGTAGGATGGAACATCACACAGAGAGCAGTTTTATTACAGTGAACAGCTTGAGAACAGTAAATGTACTTACATCATCCTCCTTGGTGCCGCCCCAGAAGTTGGTTCCGCCTGCATAGCTAGGAATGTTCAACACTGCTATGCCTTGAAGGCTGGGCAGTGGGATGTACTGTCCATCACACTGGGAAAGACACAAATAACAAAGTTAAGTTGGACCAGTAAAGCAAAAGAAAAGAGAACATGGTAAAAAAAAAAAAAAAATGGACTGGTTCTTATTTAGCACTTTTCTACTCTTTCTGAGCACTCAAAGCTCTGTACATAACTTGTACATTCACCCAAGCACATTTTTCTAAGTGCTTACTAAGTAACATTCACATACTCCGATGGATGCATCGGAGAGCAATTTGGGGTTGGTATCTTACCCAAGGATATTTGGCATGCAGACTGGGGAAGCCAGGGATCGAACCACGAACCTTCCAATCAATAGATGACCTGCTCTACCACCTGAGCTACAGCCACATATACTCTGTGTGTCTAAATTAAGGCTGTTTCCTGGTTCTATAAACATTTAACCACATTTTTTCTTCTGCCTTTACTGAGCTTTCAGAACTATTTCATTGAAAATCTGACACAAAAAAACTGGTGTTTTTTTATTACACGTTATCAGTTTTCTGGCTGTGTAAATAAGCAATCTCACAGAACAGGGTGGTTTTTACTCTTACCAGACCAACATCGTCACTGCCTAAGAAACCTGGAGTTCGTTCAAATATACACATAATCATGGAATTTTTTAAGGGCATATTATTAAGGGCCGTTATTCTCTAAATGTTTTTACATAATAACAAACAATAGAATTTTTTTAATATTAAAACTTTTTTTATTAACTTTAAAAAAAAAAAATCTTTGTGAGTAAAAGCAGAGGTGAACTCTAATTTTTGTCAGCACGTGTTCCTTATTCTGCCATGGGTAATTTAAGTGATTATAAAGATTTAAGCACTGGTGAAATGCGAGTGTGTAACATGCAGTGTTTTCAATTAAAATTTTTCTCGTTTCTTTTTTAATCCAAAGCCTTAAATGCCTGATTTTCTCCATGTCTCACCTCCAGCTGGACCTTCTGCTCCAGGTTCTTGTAGGTTCTTTGCAGCAGCTCCTTAGTGCCCAGAACACCGTACCACATCATATTCTTGGTACGACTCCTGTGTGGGGAAGGTGCAGAGGTGGTGTGCAGGAAAAAGACTGTTGTGTCACTTCAACTTTAAAACACACAAATACGTGGACAACACATCACCTGCAACACAATCACTGAAATGGAGGGAATGTACCTGGAAAAGTCAGACTCTGTATTTTGTAATGCCCCAAATTACAAGCAAACAGATAAATGTACAACAGCCTTGCAGGAGATTAAGTGATCACATTTTCACAATTTGTTTTTAGACACGTGGGAAAATAAAACCCTTCTGGGATGGCATCTTGGCAGCTCTTGACATATTTACTTGTCTTTATTCAAGGACCAACACCTGTTTAAGGTTATCCTGTTAGCAGCAAAAAAAAAAGATAACTCAAAACTGGCTAAGGACTGCAACACTCAGTTCTAGACAGTTGGTGATTGTGTTTGACGAGGTCCTGAAAATAGAAAAACTCACATACAGACTGAAAAAATGAGAATACTTGACTGGTAAGTAACTTCAGTTATCAAAAGAGGCAGATTTGCTCCAACGCTGCCAGCTTAGGACTGTTCAAAAGTTCATGTACTTGTTTATGGATAAACAAAGCAAATAAAATGAAATTATAAAAAAACCCACACAAATATGCTGTGTTCATTGGAAATGAGACTCACCTGCATTTCTCTGGATGCTCCTCTCGCTTGTTGTTAAACTCCAGCGAGATCTTTGCGTCCAAGCCAATGCCAAAGTAGTTGTTCATAACACACTTCTCCATATAGCCCTCTCTGGATGAACAAGCAGTCAACACAAACGCACACACAAAAAAGGTAGTTAGATTGCACACAAATACATGAAGTGGGAGAAAGACAAAGCAACAGTGTAGAATGTGACCAACAAACAACATCACAGTGACAAAGATGGAAGAAGGCATTAGAAAAAGACATGGCTCTTACAGAGAGTCCAGGTCAGGGTCGATGAATGATGTGGCCCCGAAAGGGTCGATGTTAGCCAGCAGCATCTTGCTAATGATAGAGCTGCCAGCAATAGAGGCAGCCAGACCTGCTCGCAAACCTGCACATACACACAAACACATATCGTCTGTGTCACACAATACTGAACTGCAATGCCTGACTGATTGTGCCCTTGTTGATCCAATGTGATGAGTTTGGTGCCTGTTTACGTGTGTTTACCTGGGCAGATGATGCGTGTGTTGAGTACAGGGAGATTCTCCTTGCTGGTGGTGAAGGGTGTGATGGTGAAGGAGCTATAGGACTGGGTGCTACGGCTCACTCTCCTCTCCGTTGGAGAACAGGGACTCTTAACAGCTGGGCCAAGGAGAGAAAAACTTACTTTGAATTTAGGGACAGATATGATGGAAAGTATAAAGCAAAACAAAATGCGCTTCAGCTGTGTCAGAGGGTACTTATTAACACAGAGATGCACATCCATAGACATGCATCATGCATCCACATATGAACAAAAATATGAACATATTAATGCAATTTAAGGAATATAATATTTATACAGTAAGGCTGGGTGCAGGTACAAATAATAACATTTGGGGTCTATGTGTCCAATAGACAGTACTCACAATGGGCCTGATTCACCAAGATGTGGCTAACAATGTTATTACCTTCCTCATACCTTGCTCATAAATTAAGAACATACACAAAATCAACATCAATTCATCAAAGGTATGCAATGGTCATCTTTTTCCTACCTTGCACACGCTACCTGTGATCTGTACAAGGACTGTCTGAACAAGTTGAGGCTTTGGCCAATAAATTTCCAGTTAATATTTTTTCTTCTCTACATCGAATTTAATTTCAGGTAGGAATATACTGATGAATCAAAACGCATTGCTTGTGAGTGAGTCCCACTGTCTAACAACATGATTACTTTTACATACAGTAAAATTACACACGTTTACTTTGAAAGACTGGTTGCTCGGGGTTTATTCTGGTGTTGCATCCTGGATTTGACATTATTTTTGCTTTCATTGTATGACTTCAAGCGCAATTGGTTAGAAGGCTGACAATTACTGATAGCTATATTTGAACCAGACCATGGGCAGCAATCTCTTCTGCTCTACTTCCTCGGAGTGCTTCCTGGTCAGGAAGGAGAAACAGGACGAAAGACGGAAACAAGGAGAGGACACAAAGCAGAGGGTTTGACTGATTCCTCCTAGTCTTCTAATACTTGGAAAATGTGTGGAAGGAAGGAAGCAGCCCAATGATAAACAGGAAGAACTTCTGCCCCTAAGACAATAACATATCCTGTGGCCCATCCACACACACTCACACAGAAGCGCAGTGGACATTTCACAGTAACCTGCATGTTCAAACAGCCGGCCTGCCTGTGTACTTTCAACAGGTACACTGATTTATTATTAAAGAAGTTGCCACAGTCTGAAGATTAGGACCTAAGCAGCTCAGCCTGGTGTAAGAGGTGGAATATCAGAGGAGGAAAAGTCGCTCCAAGCACTTTTAGCACTAATCCCTGAGTTTATTTATGACAGGAAACTTGATTTGCGTCAGCAGGCTTTTTTTTCCCATTAGCTATGTCTCTGGTCCACTGTGGTGCAATGACTGCAATACCCACCAGGTGGCAACATTAAAATCATGTGTACAAAAATCTATGCCTTTAAGGCATCTTTGTTGTTCTTAAACTTGCCTAAATTATAGAGATAGCTGTGTTTCCTTCTCTCAGTAGAGAAAAGAGTGAGGAAACATGTTTTTACACCGACCACTGCTGACTTATTTTCTTAATTCAGCCCAAAAACAATATGTGTCAGCTACAAGAACAATGCAAGCTGTAAGACTTGCACAGTGGACATGCAAAGGTGGGCAGGTTAAGTTCTCTGGAACTAGCCTTTTATGAAATGTAGCGGGCCAAGTAAGTGAATGTTTGGAAGTACCTCGCAAATATAGAAGGGGAACAGGCCAAAAAGCAGCAGAAACACTTACATGACACTGCTTCCAGTTCCTTAGTGTCCTCATCTTTCTCACTGTCTCTGTTCTCGTCCTCGCTGTCCTTCTCCAGAGGGGATGGAAGCTCTGGGTCCTCCGTATGGGCATTCTGCTCATCAACCACTAAACAGGGCATAAATGGGTTGGCCATAACACAATAAGTTGCATTTAATAACCGCATGTTTTTGTTTCAAAAACATTTTGATAATTCCATTCATCATCACGAGGCAGAATCCTTATCCCGTAGCTCACTACACGTACCTCTCTCTGCCTGTTCTATGACCTGTCGAACCGCTTTCTTCAGACTGTCGGCCCTGAGCATCAACTGGTCCCTGCTTTTGAACAGCTGGTGCGGCGAACCTCCTGCCACTCCTTTCTCCGTCTCCTCTTCCTCCAGTTTCTCCTTCAGCTCTGTCAGGCTTTCTTCACTGGCCTCCTCCTCCTCCTCTTCCTCCTCCTCCTGTTCCTCCTCTACAATAGGTGGAGTGGAGAGGGGGAGCGGAGGTAGAGCTTGGCACTCTGTGTTGAGGGTCTGGAGGAGGGAGTCCAGTTTCTCATTGAGGATGGCACACTGGAGGGCACAGAGGAAGAGACACTTAAGGACCAGATGGAGTGCTGCAGCAGCATTCACAGGACAGTGAATTAGCAGAAATTTAATATATATGGAGTTGGCTTTCAGCACAAGCAGATAATGGATGTTTACTGCATTGTTTTTGAGGCTTACTTTGAGAGACATAGAGTCGCACTCCTCAGCATTCTCAGTGCTTTTCTCATACGCCTTCCCCACTTTGGCAACAAAATCCTTCACTGTCTCACACAGAATTCTAAGAAACGGGGAGAAAACACAAGTTCTTCCTGACATAACGTAATCTGAGAAAAGCTAATTATTTACCTCCTTTTGTATCTTTTTACATACTTCATTTACTATTTTCACTATATGGAAATAATTTATGTTTCACAAAAGTAAATTTTTGTTCTCCTCTTTGTTCTTTATTCTAGAATGTGGCACATGGCTGCCCCTCCCTGAGCCTGTTAAAAGGATGTTCTTGCTTCCCACTGTTGCCAACTGCTGCTCATAGCGGTTCTTTCTTACTATAAAAAAAACACCTTGAGGAAACTATTGTTGTAGAGTTGTGCTTTATAAATACATTTTTATTCCAGCCAAAAACAAAAGGTTCATTACTTATGTGAAGGGAGGGGTACATTAGTTATTTGTGACTAGGACAAAATCAATACAAGAACAGTTGCTTAAATGTACTTTTGTCAAATGTGTCCCCAAGTGGACTGCTCACATATTTAAAAATGTCAGAATTATTAGTGTGATTGCTGGAGCAGCTGCAATAATGCTGCAGCAATTACAATGCAATATCACCACGACATGCACATCATGGTTTTTAGCCTGTAGTTGATTTGGGTTTGGGTTGATTTTAGACTTCTTATTCTGGGTAACGGCGGTGTTATAAACACCTACTTGGCAGAGGAGATGACCACAGAGTGCTGCTCAGAGTTGAGGATCTTTGTGAGGTGAGTAGCTACTGAGTCTTCATAGGTTGAAATGTGAAACTGTTGAGAAAACAATGAAACTGTTTATTTCTATTCAGAAAACAACTGTTAAACGCAATCTTATAGGCACTACAGTTAATAAGGTATAAGTGCTAAAATGCTTATTTGCCCATGTTTAAACTGGAGGTAAGGTGAACATGAATTCAAAATGTCAGGTGCTATTCCCTGCAACTACCTCCTCCCCACGTCTGTCTGTCTGGAATCCCCTGCTGGCTTTTATTGGGTCTACTGATGCGTGTGAATATCTGTCAACTCCTGTGAGTACCTGGCAGTCGTCAGCTCCCTCAGGCGTGGTAGGGCAGCTGTGTTTGGGTGGGATCTTAATCTCGTAGGTCATGATGCTCCAGCGGTCCAACATCTTGGTGCTGGCCCTCTCTAGCTTCTCCAGAATCTGAGGCAGCTGGGTGTCATCGTCACATGACGGGCCCCAGCCAAGCACTCGCGCCAGATCATTGCCGGTGCCCAAGGGCAACACCCCCAGCTGGCACTGAAAGGCAGGCACAGGGTTTATTTGGCATCAGTGTCTGCTATACTCAAAATGAGCTGTTTGTCTGTACATTCCTGCCTGTGAGTGTGGAATGACTTTGTATCTTTATGTGAGCTTGCTCAGAGCAAAGGCAAAAAGCGCAATTGGAACACTGGCCAAAGACAAATTATTGTCTGTGTACTTGTTCTGGAAAGCTGTGCAAAACCTGTTTAAAAAGACTTTCTATCCAATATGTTTATGATAGTTTGTGATTATCATTCATTTTCAGTAAAAGAGAAACAAATCCTAATAGTGTTTTCATTGTCATTGTTAAAATAACGCTTATGTTACTGTGCACTACTTGTTTGTGTAGATTGAGTTTGTCGATCTCTGAGAGGACCCATCCCACGCTGCCATCACCTCCGCACACCAAGATTCGGAAGTTATCAAACTTCTGAAACAGGCGCAAACTGGAAAAAACACAACAAAGCCACTCATGTACTTATTCTGCAGGATCAGCTTTCAACTAAAGCCTAATAACAAAACTGGTGCACTTTGATATTTATGGATATTTACAGGAGATTTGTTTGCAAGTGTTTTCCTCACCCAAGGTGTGGCCCACCGTTGACCAGGTCAAAGACTTGAGCTGGGTTCAGAAGCTGCTTGAAGCGCCGTAGGAACTTCACTCCCTGGTTGTCGCCACTTTTGGAGTTGACAAAGACCAGGAGGGGACTGGCACATGACGGGGGACAGGTGGCCTTCCAGAAGCCTGAGGAGTCATGGCAGCAGTAAGAACAACAAAAGTCAACATGGCTCTGTTCCATCAGACTGGAAGCAGTGAAATTTACATGGAAAAAGAACATAAATTACTGTTTTATTGCTGTTTTAATTGAAATTTTTTTGTGTATAGAGTGTCCAAAGTGGAGAAGGAGTCACATAGCAGATCTGCCTAATCAATCTTTTTTGCTCAGTTCTATGCCAAGTCTATAAACGGGATTTCCTCTAATGGCCACTTGAGTTTATTGCCCACTTTTAAATGCACAACTTTCCAGCACTAAAAAAAACACATCTTCACAACCTGGTAAGAAAAACATTTTTGGTGTCTATGGTTAGCTTCAACCTCGATATCAACTCTATACTGAATTTCCCGGAGGAACCCACCTGAGGGATTAATAAAGTTTTATCTAATCTAATCTAATCTAATCTAATCTAATCTAATCTAATATTATTATAAAAGTAATATATCACCTGTTCGATTTTTGTAAGCACTTTAAGATTAGGGGTGTTGCTGTGTGTCAACACAAGCTGACTGGTGTCTGTTCCACTAACTGAGGTCATTGTAGTGGAGCGCTTGATTTTTTTGCAGTTGACACCTTTTTGAGCAATATAATGTTACTGTCTTACTGATAATAGGCCCTACTGTGTGACGTAGCCCATCTAAGAAGCCTATGCTTCCATTTTGGTGCGCAACATGCTGTGGTTTCTCTGTATTATTGTAGGGTGTTTATCTTATAATATTTAGTGCCTTGAGGTAATTATTGTTTTTAATGCCATATAAATAAAACTGAATTGAATTGAATAATCATCTTATATCTGCAATAAATGTTCTGTATGCATTCTCTGTGTGTTACACATCCTAAAACTTTATCCATCAAGCTTTTTTGTTTTGTTTTTTTAACATTTTCATCTAATTCAAATTGAATTGGATTGAAGAAAAAAAATATCAGGTAAAACCTTTGATTTGTGCTACTAGAATGTTTAAATAAAACTGTCTTAACTTGATGCTTTAGTGTTTTAAATATCTAACCATGTTATGACTTAAACTTGAGCAGCAGTGCTAGATGCAGCAGGAGGTGTGAGCCAGCTCTGTCATCGCTAAACAGCCTCATCAAATTCCTGTGTGTGTGTGTCTGTGTGTGTGTGTGTGACACCAAGCATAATAATGCATAGGACGGGCTTAACACATGCCACAAACACGTGTTTTGCTGTGCAGTAGAGGACAAAACATATATACATACTCTGGTCTCGGGGAGGTAATGTAACTACCAGCTGTAATCTGAACACTGCCTCTGTGGTGAAAGCTTTGCGCATATTAAGGCTTCAACCTTAAATATATGGGAATACCATCTCTGGCAGCATGGACACAATCGTCCTTCTTCATATCTTTCTCATTCTCTTTAATCTCTTCCTCTACAATCTTTTGATTTATCGTCCTTTCTGGGTCACTCTCTTTGTGACTGTTTCTGTAAAGGATGAACAGAGGGAGAGCACATGAAAGTGGAGGAGAGAGAAAGGACAAGCAGGGAGTCACGATACTCTGGCACGTGCTACAGTCAGCCCCCCCAGCCAATTACAACCAAACTCCCCCTCTTTTCAGCCAGTGTTCGAGCAGAGGGGATCCTGGCACGTGCCGAGATGACGGCGAGAGAAGGACAGAAAGAGCGCAAGAAAGAGAAAGAGGGAGAGAGACAGAGAGAGAGAGCCTAACGAAGCATATATCTCCCCTTTTGTTAGCCCTCTCCCTATCCCACATGTTAATGTGAGTCTGCCTCTCAGGTGCTGATCTTCATCTAAAACGGATTTAAGCATTGGCAAACACACACACACACACACACACACACACACACACACACACACACACACACACACACACACACAC